CTACTCTGTGGGGAAGATAAGTACCTGTGTCCATACAGTACCATCCAGCCAGAACAATAGCAGTGGTGAAAACTCTGCTTAGTTCAAGTCTTAGTAATAGATCAGCTTGCCATGACACATTCATTAGACATAAGGGTAGTGCAAGTGATGGAACCTCCAATTAGGGATGGGCACGAACTGGCTCACAAATGAAAGTTCAAGATGAATCTTGGCTGGTTCGTGATTCATAAAGCAATGTTCACAAACTGAAGAGCTGCCATGAACTTCCACAAATTTTAAAGCAGTTAGTGGTGGCTTGTGGCTGTTCATGAAGAACAGAAATCACAGGGTTAAATGGCTCCAAGCCATTTAACCCTCTGCTTTCTGCTCCCCAACAAAAGTGGTGGGGAGCAAAAAGCAGGGTTCACTAATCAATTCAAACTGGTTCAGTTTGCAAACCAACCTCCCAGTTTGTATTGGTTTGTGGTTCAGTTTGTGGTGTGGCCACAAACTGAACCACAAAAAGTGGTTTGTGCCCATCTCTACCTCAGATTAGGAAGTGGCTTGTGGGTTCAAAAACTTGAGTTGGATGCTTTAATATTGGAAGTAAAGCTACTCATACCAGGATAACAACCCAGTAACCTGATTAAAATGAGAGTAATTTGAATGTGGGATTCACTGCCAGGGATGTAGTGATGGTCACAGGAATAAATAGCTTTAAAAGGGGATTTGATAGATTCATGGAGGATAGTCTATCAGTGACTACTAGCCATGGTGATTGAAGGGAACTTCTATGTTCAGAGGAACTGGTCAGCCACTGTGTAAGACAGGTTGCTGGACTAGATGGACTATTGGTCTGATCCAACAGGTTTCTTATGTTCTTAAATTTACCCTTAGTCTCAATAGGAAGCAGATTTTTTTCTTATAAATCTCCCCCCCACATATAAATTGTTCAGAGGGTGCACCCCTTAACCAAGAGAGATCTCAGTGTCCCTGCTCTATTGGCAACCCAACAGGAAGGGTTGGCTTTTTTCCTTACTGTGGCTAAGAGCGGCTGTAGTGTGCATGTGATTTGGATTGGTCAAAAAGTGCAGCTACTTAGTACTTTTACATGACGATGACAGTCTCTTAGGGATTACAGACCCTGAATCAGTAATTCTCTATCATAGAGAGAAAAGATCTGATCTTTCTTTATCACTGAAGTCTTGAATCTTATCTGGTCTGATGCACATGTGTCTACCATGGTAGTTGAGTTGCCTCTTCATACATTAATGGAGTACACAAGTTGAATCTGAGTACACAAGTTCCAACCCTGTGTGAGATGCAACACAATCCTGTGTGAGATGAAACACAGTCCAATGTGTGTCTGTTCCTGGTTTTTTCCATCTGTCTCTAGGGCTGCAGTGGGAGGCAGAAAGTGGACATTGTCATGCCCATCTAAGAAACCATAATTTTTTAGAAATGCATGCTTGGATACAGGCCATAGACTCTGCCCCACCCCCCCCAAGCACCCATGCCACCCCAGATCATTGAACATTATAGTACAAAATCAGAAAATCTTCCCAAAGTTAGTATAATGATGAGTGGAAACTGGAAATACCAAGCAGATATCAGCTGGGATAATGATGATTCTGATGTCCCTGATTTTGAGTTACTCCTTTCATTTGCTGGCCAAACCCTCACACTGCCCAGTTAATCAAAATAAGATGGCAAAAGGCCAAAATAACCACCAGATGGGAACACTTCCTCCTTTTCCTGAATGTTGGAAACAATTTTGTTCAGATTTGGAACATTTCCAGTATTTACAAATGGGTATTATTTGGGTCAGATCTTTATTAGTTTACTGTCACCTGTACATCCCTACTAAACATTTGTGTATAAAACCAATTTTCTCTTCTCCAATTTAAATGCCACTACTAATGCAGAGTGATTACCAGATATTACTAGCCCCCGATTGTTGAATCTGCTTCGATGAATATTAGTTACTGCAACCCAAGAATGTGAACAAAGTTCTTCTATATGCCCGGCTTGCCACTTAGCTGCTTGACCCTTGCCCTCGTTGGCTTGTAACATCCAGCCAAAAGGGAAAAAATCTGTTGGGTGTAGGAGGTCATAATTGCTTCCTAGAGAGAAGGAGCAGCCCTGGCTGCCTTTGTAAACCTCTAAAAAAATTACTGCACAGAAGGCAGTGCAGAAGAATAAATACAAAACATATGAAAGTCAATAGATAAAAGCCTGTATATTGTGTATCGGTCCCATAGCCCTGAGTAAGTTTAACATCCATAATACAAGATTGAGGATCTGGACAGCTTGGCTACAGGACTCCAATTTCAGTGCCAGGTTCAAAGACCCGTTTACTAAGCTTTCATTTCCCACATCAGTTTTTACAGTTCAAGCACTGTTAGACTGCTGTAAACACAAGAATGCCACTACGGGCCTGGGAAATATTATTTAAACTCCACTGCCTTTAACCACACAGACCAGCCAAGTCTCCAAGCTCCCTGCAGGTACGTGGCTGAGTTCCTTCCAATGGGGCTAACACTAGCAGAGCTTTACAAGGACCACAGTGCATGGGGGGGGGGAACAGCATAATAAAAGGAAACTATTTCACATCTCATTTGCAGCATAAATTCAGTGATTTGTGTATTGAGGTGTGTGAGCTCCCTTGGGGTGCTTTGCCTTGTTACAGCACATTATATATATAAACAACACAGGAACAGCAGTAGCATTAGTTCACCTCCTGCTCATATATGGAATAACAAAGTACCAGGCTAATAGAAAATGAGGTGATTAAAAAAATATTAAGCATTAAGTCACCCTCTATGGAAATATCCATATGTTCTAAGCACTCATCTTTAAGCACTGTGAAACAGTAACTCTCACTTTCTGTTATGCAGCCTGCTCTCACCTATTCCATTCCTTTGGCTTACAAAAAGCTTTCTTTACACCCATTTTCTCACAACCACGTCCCTCCCACAACCTCTAGTTCTATTTCCTTCCCTCTGCCTCTGTGAATCAGTCCATACAAAGCTCTAGTGTGGTTTCGGTTTCGAAGACTCGCTAGATGGTCGCACCTCATTGAGCTCCGATGGGTGCGTTCCATACCGAACCGGTAAGAAGGAAGACCGAACACATTTGGTTGTCCCTAGAGCCTCTGTAGGAGGAGTCTAGCCTGGGATGCGAAGAGAGCCACTCCCGAAGCTGCAGATGAAGGATTGAGGCTTCCTTTTGTCCCTAAAGTTTCTACCACACTGGGGCCAGCAATGGTGTCCAGAGGCGCACACCAATTCCAGAGTGAGCAAAGGATCAACTGAAGTGGAAGAATGTACCTTATTTTGCAGCGCCTAACTGATTTAAAACGTGAATGCTGAAATTCTTACTAAAAAGCATGTGGGGGAACGGATTTAAACACAAGCCTTAAACGTGAAGAAGGGGGGGAAATCCTTCTGGAGGGGGAGTAACCCTTGCCCAGCCTAACTAACCAAGTGAAAGGTTAAGGCAGAAAGCCGATTCAAGCTAAAGCATCCACCCAAACCCACATAGAGCTCAAAAAGTTTTCAGCACACTAGAGGAAGATCTCAGGCACTTAAAGAATTTTTTTACCTTAAATATAAACAATGTCGCGGCGAGGGGGAAGAATGGCGCCTAAAGCGAAACCTACGGCAGGAACTTCCAACACATCATCACTGTCTCATAGACCGGAAATGACCACAGACACTGCAAGCATGATCTCTGAAGCACTACACCCTCTGCTGGACCAAATGACAAATCTCAACAAAAACTTTGAAACCCTCCATAAAGAACTTAAGGAAGTCAAGTCCACAACAGAGAGGACAGCAAAAAAGCTGCAAAAAGTTGAACATAATACTAAAACTTTGAATCAATGAGTGGAATCAGCGGAAAAGGAAAAAAATTCAGAAAAGCAACAATTAATACAAATTCAAGTGGAATGATCTGCTTATATCCTTAGATTTCAAGGAGTTCCTGGGAATAAAGATGAAGATCTCAGGCAGATCTTAAGAGAAGGATTAGCACCCCTGATTAATTGTGAACCAAAAATATTGGATTTGGACACTGATATGGTCTATCTGATCTATCCAGAATTTGTTAAGAAAAATAATCTCCCAGGGAAATATATGTGAAATTTCTAAGAAGGGCAACAAGAGATTTGATTTTGAAAGCAACTAATGGGACTCCTTTAAAAATCCAAGACAATTAGCACTAGTTTTTCTCGATGTGGAGAAAGCCTTTGACAATGTAACTTGGGAATTCTTAAGATACAAATTGGAGACCATGGGATTGTGGCAATAATATTATGATGATGATAATGTCTATATATAAAGAACAATTTGCAAATATAATAGTTAATGGAGGTTTAACTCAGAACATACCTATTCAAAAAGGAACTCGACAAGGATGTCCACTTTTGCCATTATTATTTATCTTTGTAATAGAGACATTAAATGACTTGGTAAGAGAAAATTCGAACGTAAGAGGTCTTAAAACTAAAGAAGAGGAATTTAAACTTCAAGCTTTTGCTGATGATCTAGTATTCATTTTGGAAGATCCAATAATATTTACACCATACCTGCTTAATGTAATACAAGAATATGGCTCAATAGCAGGACTTAAAATAAATTTCAAAAAACCCAAGATCTTGACAAAAAACTGCTCTCAGGATTTGATAAACAAGATCCAGTCTCAATCTAATATAGAGGTAATCAACAAAGTTAAACATCTAGGCATCACCCTTTCAAGTAAAAATAGTAGCCTATTTGAAAATAATTACAAGAAATTATTAGAAGATATCAAGAAAGATTTACAGAAATGGCATGATTTACACCTATCATTTATGGGTAGAATTGCCACTTTGTAATGTAATAATCATAAATAAATCTTTAAAAAATCCAAGGAACAGAAATAAAGACTTTAAAAGACATTCCATTTGAAATATGAAAAAAGAGAAAGCAATATAAAAAACAATATTCCGACAAGGAAACTCTATCCAATATCAATGGCTTATGTTCGAAGGACTGACTTTCAATTACAAAGGGAAAAAAGAAAAGATTGACTCTTTGGCCAAGGCCAAAACCTTTTTGGAACTACAGCAGACTCCAGCAAAACCAATAAGAGAAACCTTGGACAATAATGCTACAGATGAAAGTGAAGAAAAAGCAAGTAGTGGCAGTTCCTACTCTACATCGGTTTCATTAGGTGACTTTATGGACTCTGAATCTGAACTAGGGGAGGCTGCCCCTAGATCATACAAAGTTAAACTGCCTGTCAAGAAGAAGAAGAAGCAGAACCAGAAGAAAAAACCTAAGTGAAGATCTGAGAACTTACTTGGCAAATTGTAATGAGATAACACAATATTATGTTATTGAATTTCATGCTAGTGATATTTTAGAATATTTACTTTGTAATTATATGTAATAGGGAACTCTGAAATTTATTGTAGACCTTTGAAGATCCTTGACTAATCTGTGGGGGTTTTTTAGATTAGATTGTAGTATGTAGTTGGTAGGATGTAGAAAAAAGCCATTAATTATTATTTTTTTAAGGCACTAGTGTGTAGGACTTACATGTGCCAGGTTACAGGAGTGTACCTTGGATCCATGTGCCTTGCCACTGTGCAGCAAATCATTAACTTCACTGAAATTGTGGTTACTTAATGAGTAGACCCATTCCATTTACTGAGAAAAAAGGCTGGCAGATCACATAACTGTCTGTTACTCTATCTCCTCCTAAATCAGATGTGCCACATTTTAAAAAAGATATCTTCTTGATCCCTGATAAGTATTAATGGTTCTCGGTCTTGTTTGAGATAAAGTCTGCACACCCTATAAGTAACCAGGCCAAACACAGCTCACTAGTGATGCATTATGGTTTACCAGGTGCATGAGCTGTCTATGTTTCTGCAATCCTGAGCAGTCAGGTTAATTGAGCAATAGGGGGAGCCATCATACATTGCTGGTGGAATGCACATCCTAGACCTGTAGACAGCTGCTGCTTAAAGTGCAAGAACATTAGAAAGGAAAATGATAACCTAACAGTGGTAGGCTGTGCCCCCACTCAAACAACCACGGAAGACAGCTTGGAAAAATGTAGGCTGTTTGGGCATCCTATATCATCCCCTATTCTTTCACCTCAGATACCACACTGGTAACACAATGATCTTGCAAGCTTTTGTAGTGATGGGGGTAAAAACTTAAAAGGCACGTATCAGATCACTGAGTTCTGTGGAATAAACTCCCAAACTGTTGGAGTCAAATTCATTCAACAAAAAGTGCTTGCTCTTGGGAGTGAGGGAGCTGTAGGATTTGTGAGCTAGTCCAAAAGGCAAAACTTGGGGGACAGTCTCCTGCCTTTGTTACACAACCCAAATCCTGAGTTTATGGTTGCTGTGGCAATCTTTATGGCAGCTCACATAGTAAAATCTTCAGGCATGTGTTTAAATTCAACCTACATTCTGTCTACTTTTGGGACAGTGTGCAAAGTGCCCCTTTTAACATAATAGACCAATCTTGCATCTAACCAGAGTTCAAGATAGAAAGACAATGGAGGATAGTCCGTAAAGCATTTGCATGCAGGTATTCAAGTCCATTTTGTTCAACAGTCACTGTTGCTCACCATAATTCCCACTTTACATGCTAGCAGCAACCAGCCATATGCATGTCTACCTCCCAACCAATTTCCACACAATTCCAAACTAAAATCTATAGTTTGCTGAGCTGCTCTTCCTTTATACGGCACTTATGATTTTTCATCTTTCAGATGCTGTGTTTCCTCTGTGAATAGCGACTCCGTCTATGTGATATTTGAATGAATCACTTCAGTACCTTTACCATAGTTCCTTCTTAGGTAGATTTGTTCTGAATGCCTTATTCACTGGAAATGCTCATAAGAACTCTGAGGAGCCTATTCTCTCCCCTAGTGAATACAGGGTGAGATGGCTGCATGTGACCTTAAAAGCAATTGATTTTGGATTTCAGAGGTCCTAACCAATTTTAATGAAAGACTGAAAATAACAAACAAAACTGCACATGGCCTTTCGTGTAAATTTAAGAATAAATGAGCTGCAAAGGGTATTTCTAATGTTAATGCATTGCTTTCTCGTGCCCATTCTGGAAAGGCAAAAAACAACTTCCATTCTGCCTCTTGATGTGGTCATTTGGTTAGTAAGTTTATTCCTTGGTACCCCCTTACTGATGACCTCAGACCATCTGAGCTCATGTGCTTTGTACACATCATACCATTACTGCTGGGTGACACCAGATTATAGTCACCCGGGCAGGGGTCTTGTTGTAGAAAAAGAGCTGCCGGAGCTCATTAGCATAACTCATTAGCATAACTTATTTGCATATGCCACACCCCCTGACATCACCGGAAGTGACAGAAGGCCACACCCCCTGACATCACCGGAAGTGTGTCAGAAGGCCTGGCTACTTACCCTCCTGCTTCATCCTCATTCCCAAACGGAATGAGGATCGAAGCAGAGGGCGGGGTAAAGAAGGGGGCGGGGCTTCACCACGTGACCGCCCCGCCCCCTAGAGGTTCTCTTCCGGAGCTCCGTACCTGAGAGCTCCCCCCCGACTAGAGCCCTGCACCCGGGTCACATCACAGATCACAGTGAATGCATGCACATTTTGTATGTACATGTGTACATCTGTTTGTATGAAAGAGCCAAGGTGTATTTACTTTACAAATGAAACCAGGGACCAGTACCTGGATAAATATCTGGTTTCAGTAGAAAAGAGCAAGAGTCCAGTAGCGCCTTAAAGACTAACAAAATATGTGGCAGGGTATTAGCTTTTGTGAGTCACTGTTCACTTCTTCAGATACCATTTCAATCACACATTCAGCTGTATATGCACTGAAAGTAACATGAAAATTACTCAGCACACACACACACACACACACAAACTCAAGTGTACTGTGTACACACATTATATGTGTGTTCACTGTAATTTGGGAACAGGGCGGGAGTCTGACTTTCCACATGTGTTCCACCCCAACTAGTGCCTGGAGAACAGAGCTGGGCCCAAGAAAATAGACTTTGGCCCTGAGAATTGGCTAAATTCAACAGATACTATCAAGATATACAGTACCATACAAGTTTTATTTCCCTCTCTGGGCAACCAGAGGCTATAAAGTAGCACACAGCAAGATTGCTTTCTTTGATATTCATGGTTATTGCATAAATCATCATGATTTCTTTTGGTGTTTGTGTAGCTACAGTAAAACACCCAGTGGGACAGCCACTGAGGTGTGTATATATTTAACATTTTCCTGTTAGTCTTTACCTAGGCATGGTATATCGAGATTCACAGGGGATGTAAATTCACTTCCTGTGATGGATGTCATGGGCAATATGTCAGTTTCACAAGCAGAAGGTGCAGATATGAGGTCTTAAAACATTGTCCAATCATCACTATTTCATCTACTCCCATTTCTACGTTAGTTCAGCCACGGCTCCCCCATCCTTCCTCACCTGGGCTTTTTTGCTTCTCTGTTTTTAAATTGTTGCCATCTTCACAATCCTGCATGTGTTTGGGTAAATCAATTTAAGTGTTATGGGGAACCGGGTCTTGTGAGCATACGTTGTTGCCCATGTGGTCCCAGGTTGCCTGCCCAAAGTGCCTTCTCTTTTCCCTACTTCCTAATTCACTGCCTCTGGGTTATCACCACCGCCATCAAGCCAGTTATTAGTACACATTCTGCCAGAGGATGTACACTTCCCAGTTTGCCCAGAGATGCCCACAAAAGAGACATTCACTTCATAACAACTCAACCTTCCCTCAGCTGACTGGCAGGGCCGGCTCGAGGTGTTTCTGTGCCCTAGGCGAGGCGCAGATGCCAACCTCCCGGTGGGGCCTGGAGAACCTTTTGCTGCTGCCTCCCCCTCTCCCCTGGGGGGAGAGGGGGAGGGCGGGTGAGCTGCGGCGGTGCCTCCTGCGCCCCGGCTGGACGTCCTCCTCCTTCTCCTGCTTAAAGTATTTCCCTAATTGCAAGCACACTAAGCATTCAAAAAGAGCAAACAATACAGAACTAAGAAAGCAGAGGTGATTGATAGTGAATAGAGGGACCAGTTACTGGTAATACTACCTGTGCTCACTTCAGCAGCACATATACTAAAACTGAACTACTACCTGCCCAGACATGCAGAAGTCCTTGAAGAAAATAGTGCCAACAGCTAGCGTTATGCGCTATAGGGGGGCAGGAAAAAAGTGTGTGTGTGTGTGTGTGTGAATGGATATAGACGTTGGAAAACAATGCTGACCAATAGGATGTCTTGAGGGGCTTGTCTCACGTGAAGACAAAAGATTACCTGGGCCAACACCCCAACACTATCTGCAGTCTTTAGTCATCTGAGCTCCCCCACAAAGGGTTGCAAGTAATGCCAGTGGGCATACAGATGCCCCTCAAGGGTCTAGACACCTGCTACTAGCCAGATAAAAAGGAATTTAAAAACCCTTCCCATGAGCCCCACCATTTGGAGTTGGTTTCCATCCTTGAGCCTTCTTCCAACACTGACACTAGGTAACAGGGTTTTCCCTTGGGACAGGGAGAATATAACCTACATTTTCCCTACCTTTTTTCACCAAACCATATCTCAAAGATGTACTGACCCTCCCTGCTTGTAGGTCCAATTTACTGCCCCACCAGATGCTACAGCTTTCTCTATGATTCTCCAGCTTGCTATAGTTCCCTTTTTGTTCACTGCCCTGCTAGGGACTCCTGCCCCTCCACTCCTACCTTCCTCCCCCAACTGCCCAACACTTTTTTCTGTTACCAGGTTTCCCCCCCCCCATTGTCTAGACACTTATTAAGAACAAATTAAGTCTAAGTGGATGCCAAGATTTTGCAAAGTGAATCCTTTTATTGGCTTTCCACATGTAAACAGCTAGTGTTATTACTGAACTGCTGAGAATTGCAATCTGCATAGTATTTAAGACTGAGCTGTCTTAGAAGATAATGATTTCTCATTTTCTTTCCCTACTCTGTATCTCACTTAGGACAATACAGTTACATTCTGTTTCAGTATCTATGTCCCTTCCCTTTCTTCTTTAGAGGGCTATCAATCCATGTCATACCTATGTATGCAGAGTCCCCCTTGGAGTCAGCATTGGCTTACAGATGTAGGCATACTTGCATGTATACTCCCTGATATGGGTCTCCTTTTGGCAACAAACCTGAGCTACTTGCATATAAATCAGCAAATAAATTATATCCCAAGTTTGATTCTGATTTCTTGGATCACCACAGACTACGTGAGGAGCTCTCTGAGGCAAATGAACAGAGCACAACACTGCAGAGGGAACTGGAAAAAATTGAATGAAGAGGAGTCAAGGCTTGAGGAAATCTTGAACGAGAAGAAAGCAGCCCGAAAGATTGTGGAGCGGCACTCTGAAGAGAGAGAAGCAGAGATGAAGAGACAACAGAAACTGAACCTGGAAAGCAAGGAGAGAACTGAGGAACTCGAGGCCAAGATTCAGGAGGAGAAACTGAAGCAAAGGAAGCAGAGAATGGAATTTGAGCAGCGACTGGAAGAGCTGATGGAGAAGCACAGGAGCCTCTGGGAGTGCTATGTAAGAAAGAAGCCGATGACTGAGGCTGACAAAGAGGTTTTGCTGGCCAAAGAGAAACTTATCCAGGAGAAACTGGCTCGTGTGCAGGATGAGTTGGATTTGCTGAGGTGCTCTCCCTTCAATGAAGAGCGGAGGTTTCTCAAGAGCCCCGCAGCAGCTTGTGCCATGGAACTGTTTCAAGAAGAATATAAGAAAGCGACAGAGTATCTGGAAACAACCACTAAGGAGAATTCTGATTTGCAGGAGAGGTGCAGGAGACTAAAAGCAGAACTGGAAAACCTAGGGGTACAGGATGGTTGCCCCAAGGAAGACTAACATCAGTTGCCCTTTGCTACACCTGAAGATTCAGTACAGGAGAGCTACGCTTACTTCATTGTTGGGGATGTCTGTCCAAGTCACAGATGGTGGGAGTTTTGCAGCCTGGAGCTTATAAACAGACAACTGGAATGCATGTCAAACATTGAAAAGGTCATTGGACCCCTGCAGTGATTGTAAGGCGTCGTACTTCAAATTGTTGTATGACAACATGCAGCGGAAACTTAAAAATACCCCTCTGGAAGTCTACCCCAAACAGATTCAATACTGCTGAATAAAGGCTGGAAAGAAAAAAGAAAAAAAGAGTACCTTGATGGTCTAGTTGCCCCACCCTAGAATTCCCCCTCTTTGTGTCCACCCCTCCTGTTGATGCAATGGCAGCCAGTAGACAGCAGAAAATTCTTGCTATCTCCTTCAAGCCTTCTTTACCTCCTGCTCCTCAAGCACCTTTGTTTCCCTGCAAGGTGCTTATAGCCCTCTTATGGACATTGTTCATAAGTGATAAAAACAGGACTGTGCAAGTAGTGTTCAAAAGGGACTAAACTGTGTGGTGACCCAAAAGTGATGGCAGTTACAGACACACACCCAGAAGAAGGAAGACTTCCTTTGAGATGATATGCCTACAGTTCCTGAGGTTACCTACCCTCTTACCTGCTGTAAGATGGACCAGCTCCCTAGCCACATGAAGCACTGAAGCCAGACAGATGCCATGCCAAGGCAGAAGAACAAAGACAGAGAATTCAAACTCCATGTGGAGTTCCTTCCTGCACACGTAGGCAACATTCCCCTTCCCCCACGCAGCCTCACCTAGCTGAAGCTACAGCCATGAGACAATAGAAGAATATCAATACTTAGACCCTTCCCTCTGAACCCAGTTCCAATCAGGATGCGTTTGGGGACAGACTAATAGGAAGTGTGCCAGGGGATGTGGCCAGCCTAGCCCACCCCCAAGCCCCCTCATAAAAGAGGGCAACCCATCATGCTTTCTTGACCTATACACCCACTGTACCTCCATGACTCTTGGTTAGCGCTGCCAGAGTCTCCACATGTTTCTGCTGGTTCAGGACATGACCCTATTACCCCATAGTATCTCTTATTTTCCCTAAGGATCGCTTCATCCCGCTGAGGACAGGTAAAGTATTACCCCTCAACGAATTATCCTGCTAATGCGAATGTGCTATCCTCTTCTCTCTAATTTTCCGAGATCTGTGAAATTGTGTGTGTTTGAATTGTTGTGTGCTTGTGAAATATCTTCAGTAAATGAAACCATTTTATACTGAAGTCAGTCTCTGAGTCTATTTCTGATGCGTCTGGGAGAAGCGGGACCCCTGTTTTGCCTATTGCTTTGTGTGATATCAAAATTCCCCATAGTTGTTAATAATTCCAGGCAAATTGGTGAACACCTTGAAAATTTAATATGCACCAGAATGTGCCAGGTGTCTGCATTTAGACTGTAATGCATGATGCACTGTGAGCCCTGTGGTTCCCAGAACACCATATTTTTCATGTGAGAAATTTGGAAAATTCAAATTTCTAGAGTGCCTCAGGTGCCACAGGTGCTATGCATTTATGAATTTGGGGGAAGGTAACAGGACGGAGAGAGGAAGCAAGAATTTCGTATCTGGCCAAGGCAAGGATTTGATGCATATTATGATCATCTCAGCTTCAAGCAGTTGATCAATACTTGGAGCCAAAGGATTACACATTGCAAAAGTCTCTCTGGCTTCTGTTTCTGACCTCTCCCCCTACTTCTGATTTCATTGAAGTCACTGTCAGGTAGGGATCTGCATTCAGCATTTCTGATCTGATTTAATACCCAAATCGCGCCTTTTTGGCATAATTCAGGCAATAGTTAAGCGGAATCCGATTCTCTGATCTGATTCAGTTTACCAATAAGAGAATCCTCAATTTTCAACTTCATTATACCCCATGGGGCCATTATAGTCAATAGCAAATCTCCTAGGGTATATGCATTGGGTTGGGGTGGAAGGGGTTTGAGGTAGAGGCACCAAATTTGCAGTATACCTGCTGGAGCATCTTTCCAAAAGAAACCCCATGTTTCAACAAAATTGGACCAGTGGGTCCAATTCTATGGGCACCCAAACAGGGTGCCCCCATCCTCCATTGTTTCCAATGGGGGGGGAATAGCAAGGCAATATAAGCTCAGCAGAATGTCCCAAAGAATCTCTGCAGTTGCAAGTGAAGCAGGGGCTTTTTTTTCAAGGCCAGCAGCAGAACCAGTTCAATTTTCCCAACAGAACCAGAAGAAGAAGAAGAGAAGAGATTGGATTTATACCCCGCCCTTCACTTGGAGTCTCAGAGCGGCTTACAAACTCCTTTCCCTTCCCCTCCCCACAACAGACACCCTGTGAGGTGGGTGGGGCTGAGAGAACTCTGACACAAACTGCTCTTTTTCAAGGACAGCTGTGCCACAGCTTGTGACTGACCCAAGGTCACATCAGCAGGTGCAAGTGGAGGAGTGGGGAATCAAACCCGGTTCTCCCAGATTAGAGTTTGTGCACTTAACCACTACACCAAACCAGTGCCACTGTGGCAGTGCCAAAACCCAACAGGACTAAGGTCAGATCTGAGAATATCTGAAGTAAGGGGGGCATTTCTGCAAAGACAGCAGAACCAGTGCAATGTACTATTGTCCAGAAGCAGAACCCAGTGCCAGCCTACTAGAGCTCAGCAGCAGAACCCAGTGCAATTGTGGCAAACGCCAGGCCAGCTCAGCAGGACTGATGTCAAGCACCAAATCCTAGCAAGGGGGAAGGGGGTTGCAGGACAGCAAAACCAGTGCAATAGTGGCTGCCCAGCAGCAGAATCCAGTGCCACTGTGACAAATGGCAGCTCAACATTACTGGGCTTCTGTATATTGGGCTGGCCTTTGTTCAGGTGGGCTAGCAAAAGTCCCTGCCCACCCTGCACTTTTGAGTGTTCTGCTGGGCTTCTACTGCCCTTGTTTCTGCCAATAAAATAAAATAAAACCCTGCTGGGATTCTCTGGTGTGACATTGGTTAGTTCTGTTGCTGCTACATTGGCACTGGGTTCTGTTGTTCAGCACTAGTAATTTAACACTGGGTTGGCATTGGCTTCTGCTGCTGGCACTAGACAGTGCACTGGTTCTCCTGTTCTTGCCAAAATGCCCCCCTTTCTTCAGAGATTCTCAGATCTGACCTTAGACCTGTTGGGTTTTGGCACTGCCATGGTGGCAGTGGTTCTGCTGGGCACATTACACTGGTTCTGCTGCCTGCCTTGCAAACATGCCCCCTCCCCACACACCACTTTCTACTGCACTCTCTGAGAGAATCTGCTGAGCTTGTTGTATTCCTGCCTTGCTTCCCCCCCCCATTGGAAACAATGGAGGATGGGGACACCCTGCCCATAGAATTGGACCCCCTGGTTAGGGGGCAGTTACACTACCAATTTGGTGTCTCTACCTTCCCTCCCCCCAAGCCCACTGAATTTACCCTAGAATGATTTGCTATTGACTATAATGGCCCCAATTGACTATAACGTTATTGACTATAACGACCCCAAGGAGCTGTGGTGGCTCAGAGGTTAAGACGCTGAACTGCAGGACCAGAAGGTCTGTGGTTCTGTAGTTCAAGATCCTAGTGCTGCATGATGGAGTGAGCTCCCGTCTCTGGCCCCAGCTCCTGCCAACCTAGTAGTTCAAAAGCAAGGAATTGCAAGTAGATAAACAGGTACCGCTTTGGTGGGAAGGTAACAGCATTCCGTGCCCCTTGGTGTTTAGTCATGCCGGCCACATGACCACGGAAGCATCTTCAGACAGCGCTGGCTCTTCGGCTTGGAAACTGATATGAGCACTGCCCCCTAGAGTCGGATTTGACTAGCTTTCAAGCAAGGGATACCTTTACCTTTATAATGGCCCCATAGAATATAATGGAGCAAAAAATGGGGGAGGATTCTTGAATTTTCCTGAATTCCAATCCAATACCAATAATGGAACCTGGGTTTTCAAGACAATACCAAATTTTTAAGGGTCGTAAAACCCTGAATCTGAAAAAATGCAATTTTTTCCCCGTGCACATCCCTACTGCCAGGTTCCAGAGAAACAAGTTGCCTCTTTGCATTAATTGTTTTCCTATTTGCTTTCATTAACCACAGAAAGGGGACTCCCTTGGTTTGTTTTTCCATTTGTTTAGAAATGAATGTGCATTCTTACATCCCAGAAGAAATCTCAACTCTGTAAGATTCTCAGCATGCATGCATGCCTTCCTCTCAACTACTCCTGTCTGCTATTCTATTTGAAGACAGTAAAAACTGAAGTGTGCTGTACTGCATTTAATGGAATGAGAGATCGCTTGTGACTGTGGCATACAGATTATGGATGTAGGAAGACCTCTCATTTAATTGAACTAGTACAGCAGACTTCACTTGTTATCTACTCTTAGTGGTAGAACAGCTAGGAGAAGATATAAAGGATCTGAGAACGGTTAGTGAGTTTCTCCCTAGAAAAGTCCTTCTAAATAGGACCTATGTTCAGTTGACTCATAGACTTCATGAAATCCATATGCCATTTCAACTTTTGCAGGCTAAGTTCACTTGCTAGCTATTGCAGTTTAAACAGGAATACTTTCATCCTCTTAAAAGGTTGCCCAGTTCTGTACTCCCAGCTAGAACACCAGTGGAAAATTGCTACACCCACAATGTTCACTACCCAAACTTCTGGCACTTCTATGGCAATAATGCACATATTATAAGCCTTTGTTCTCTTCTTGAATAGAGTTATACTACATTGGGTTTACTAAAAAAGAGACAAAGAAAGTAAGTGTGAATGATCTGACAGCAAACTAACTACTGTATTCATGAGCTAATCTCAAAAGGGCTAGATGTTCTCTTTGGATAAGCATCCAGAAGTCTAAATTCTTGAACAGCCTTTGAACATCTTTGATAAGGAAATAAAAGAGACAGAAAGGAAATAAGGAAATAAGACAGCTCTTTTTTTCTTTTCTTTTTTAAAGACTGGCATG